CATGAGAATGTCAGTAAGATTCTAAGGTACGGTCAGTCTTAGTAGATGAGACTATAAAATTCTGTCTTATTTTTTAGTGATACTCAAGATAGCCTTTTCTTCTAATGATTAGATATATGTAGTGTATTCTAATAACAGTGAATGATGGTAGTAGTTAAAAAATGAAAAGCTTTAAACGTGAGTAAATTTCATTTACAGTGAATAATAATGGTAGTAGTTATAAAATGAAAAGTTTTAAACTTAAGTAAATTTCATTTTCGGTGTTCTAATAATTGACAACAATGGTAGCGATTATGGAATAAAAGTATATAAACTTAACTAATTTCTGTTTATGTTGACATTTAAAAAAAAAATAAAACACTCCAATCTACAAGAAGTTGAGATGAAAGAGGGTCCCCCGGGGGGGGGAGGAAAGAAGAAGTATACTTGTTGCTATGCATAAACCCAATTATCTCTATTAACAAAATCTTAATTGCCAAACTGTATAAGCCAGCAAAGATTTTACGTGGTTTATCATTTAATTTCCATTATTGAAAGAATTAGCAGTAAAAAGAATACAAAGAATACAAATTCCATGTAAGGCTCCGTTTGATAATACTGAATCTGAATTCTGAATTCTGAATACTGAAATAATTAATTTGCTGAATTTTAAGCACTGAAAAGAGATATATGAATGTCTGGATCTTAATGCTGAATCTATTTATACCGTTTGATAAATATTCATAACTTAATGCTTAAAAAGCTAAATTGTACAATTTTGCCCTTCTATCTTTTAATCCAAAAAGAAAATAGAACCTATGATTTAATTAACTTAAAATTGTTAGGTATGAAAATGGCAATGATTGTGAAGAGCAACGCATACAATGACAATGTTTCTTTGTGTGGGAAAAGGGTATGGTTTCATCGTTTTGAGAATGAGAAAACGAGCTTTTAATACTCCAAAAGTACGTTCAATTACATTTCTCAATCTTGCATGTGCTTGGTTAAAGCGTTCTTCTTTTGATCTTGGACGAGAAGCATTTCGAAAATCAGACAACCAATATTTAATATTTCGATATGGTGTCATAAAGCCACGTGTGTGTGGATAAGCTGCATCACATAAATAATATTTATCTGCATAAAAAATATATATATCAAAATATAAATGTTTGTGGATGAAAATTACTGCAAAAAAAATACTATTGTTAAAAAAAATTTTTGAATAGAGAATATCAGGTTGTTTTGTTTAATTAGATAAGGATTTTAAAAAGGGAATATTAGGTTGTTTAATTAGATAAGGATTTTGAATATAATTAACAAACATGGATATATTTGGTAGATAAGATAAAGTAGTTGAAGTAAATCTCTTGATTCTTATCAAATTAAGCATTCAGTTACGATTCTTGTGCTGAAAAAAATACATACAAATTCAGTACCACTTAATAAGTTCAGTATGTGAATTTTTATTTATCAAACACCCACAACATCTGAATGTCTGAATGAATTCAGTTTCAGCACTTTTTTATGTTATCAAACAGGCACTAAGTCTATTTTTATTTTTTTGTTTGCAACAAAAAAAATGAAGCTTCTATTAACTTCCATTGGTTAAAAAAAACTTTAATTCTTTTCTTAATTTACAAACACATATAGGGATGGCAACGGACGGGGTTGGGGTGGGGACCCCTACCCCCGCTTCTCCTGCGAAGCTAATAAAAGTTGTCATATAATTTTTTATAGTCAAATTTTAACGAATAATCATCAAATACTAAAATATCAACACATCATCAAATTATTATCTATTGTAATTTTACAATTGAAACCCATAAAAACAATCAAACAAGAGTTATTTGAATACAATCCAATATCATGAAACAAATGTAATTAAAATAGTCAAGTTTTTATTTTTGACACAAATATATTAAGTCATTATTGTGTTTATTTTTGAAAAAAGTGTTATTGTGTTAAATGTAATTAGAAATTTAGTATAAATGTATTAGTTAATTTGGTATAACTAATTAATAATTTCTATTAGTAGACATGTATAATTTTTAGTATAATTGATGATATCAATTATATTACATATACTAACATCCATTTTACACTACATTTAACTAATAATATCATTATTATAAGTTTGTAACTAATTAAATTTATTTATTATTTTTTTAACGGGTGGCTAGGCGGGGGACAAAACGGGGGAAAAATTCCCTCCCCCCGCCCCACCCCACAACCTACCCCAGCTCCTACCCCATTAACCCCCCATACGGACACCCGCCCCAATTGTCATTCCTACACACATAGGTAGGGTGTGCTTTTGCGAGGGAGTGATAAGAGTTTGGCTAACAAGGAACAAGTGATTAGTAGACACTTGTTGGGAGTGCTTATTTTATACTAGTATAATCAATTCAGGAAAGTGTCCAAATGTGTCCAAATGTCCAAATGTACAAGTGAAATAAATTCAATTTGTAGGCTTGCATGTTAATTCAGGTGTAATTTTAAGCGTTCTAAACAAGGGGAACAATATTTGGAGGATCTTAAAGATTTGAATTAGGGGTGCAAATGAGCCGAGTTCGAGTCGAATTTTGGCTAATCAAGCCGAGGTCGAGTTAATTTTGTGAAGCTCGAACTCGAGCTCGAGCTCGACGAGCTCAAAATATCAAGATCGAGTTCGAGCTCGACTCAAATTCGAGTCGAGCTCGAGCTTAAAAAAAAAATTATTATTATTATTTTATTTTTAAAAAATAAAAAATAAATATTTATTTTTAAAAATGAATAAAACAATAATTTTTTTAACAAATAATAAAATAGTAGGGATATATATGTAATTTTACTATTAAAATAAAAAATAAAAAATATATATAGAATTGAGCTCGCGAGTTTAATGTTTTTGACCTCGAACTCGACTCGAGCTCATATTCGAGCCACTCGCGAGCGGCTCGATTCGCGAAACACCCCTAATTTGAATCATATTTTTTTCTTTTCAAGAATTGCTTGTACTTATATGTTATACATATAAAACTCGAACCAACTACTCCTATTCTTCCATTAAGAGAGTTTTAAAACTCTATTTGGGTGTAAGTCAAGAGATTTGACCATTTGGGTGTTGATCCCTTGACCTGTCTTCTAATATCCAGACTTTCCTGGAAAATGTTTCATGTGCCTAGAATCTATCATGTCGACAAAAAAATTATATGTACATATAAAACTCTATTTCCTCAACAAAGTTTTTTTTTGTATTCTCTATATAAATAAGTAATTTCATACCTTCTCTCTAAACGTTTTTGACACTATTTTCCAGTATAGCTTTTCCACTTTATATCGCACGGTACGTTATTATTTTGATAACAAAATCTTAATTGCCAAACTTTATAAGCCAACAAAGATTTTACGTGGTTTATCATTTAATTTCCATTATTGAAAGAATTAGCAATAAAAAGAATACAAAGAATACAAATTACATGTAAGTCTATTTTTAATTTTTTTTTGTTTGCAACAAAAAAATGAAACTTCTATTAACTTCCATTGCTTAAAAAAAACCTTAATTCTTTTCTTAATTTACAAACACATATAGGGATGGCAATGGATAGGGTTGGGGTGGGGGAGTGGTCTTCTCCTGCGAAGCTATAAAAGTTGTCATATAATTTTTTTATAGTCAAATTTTAACAAATAATCAAGTACTAAAATATCAACACATCACCAAATTATTATCTATTGTAATTTCATAATTGAAACCCATAAAAACAATCAAATAAGAGTTATTTAAATACAATTAAACATCATGAAACAAATGTAATTATAATAGTCAAGTTTTCATTTTTGACACAAATATATTTATTAAGTCATTATTGTGTGTTTTTTTTTGAAAAAAGTGTTATTGTGTTAAGTGTAATTAGAAATTTAGTATAAATGTATTAGTTAATTTAGTATAACTAATTAATAATTTCTATTAGTAGACATGTATAATTATTAGTATAATTGATGGGTTTGAATTGAGGTTTCACGGGTTCAGGTTAGAATTGGGTTGAACCCGAAAAGAAAACGGGTCGAATTCGGATCAACATATGGGTGGCCCGATATGACCCGATAACCCATTCACGAATTAAAAATAATTTAATAAACATAAAAATTATTTTATCTAACTAAACTAATATTTTTTACTTTTATACTATTTTAATTTATTTTATATTTGGTTTGGGATAAAACACTTTTACGGTGTTTTAATTTATTTAAGATTTGGTTTGGGATTACTTATTTAAAATTTTATTACTTGATTATGTAATTAGTCTTGTACGAAATTGGTTTTATTAGAAATTACAGTGATAAATTAATAAATTAAAATTAAGTTTCAAGTCATTTCGGGTCTACCCGCCAACTCGAAATTTTCGGGTTCGGGTCAGGTATCCTGACCCATTTCGGGTTGGCTGGTCAAGTTTGGGTCAGCGAATTTTCTGTTATACCCGGATCTCAACCCGATCCGCCAATCTAATTTGGACCCGATTGCCACCCTTAGCTTTATGTGCCTAGAATCTATCACGTCGACATAAAAAATTATATGTACATATAAAACTCTATTTCCTCAACAAAGTTTTTTTTGTATTCTCTATATAAATAAGTAATTTCATACGTTCTCTCTAAACGTTTTCCACACTGTTTTCCAGTATAGCTTTTCTACTTTATATCGCACGGTACGTTATTATTTTGATATACTATCTGAAAAATTATATTGAGAAACCACAATTATGAAAATCTTGAAGTATAAATATTTTAGATTTCTTGTTTTTGTTGAAGTTTCCCGAATATTATATCCATTTACTTCGAGGCCCTTCACTACCAAAATCAGAGGTCATGACCCAACGCATTGCCAAAAATACAAGAGGAATTCTTTCGAGCATATAAACAAACATGTAGTAATCAAATTATTCACTGAAACTCCATGATCGAACATTTTCTCTTGCTCATTTCCTTCTACAAGCGTCAGACCCTGGTCAAGATTATTATCTTTAGCTAACAAGTTTTCAACAATGCCTGACCGAATCCCACCTGATTTGATCGAAGAAATTTTCTCCAAGCTCCCTGTAAAGACGCTCATAAGATTCAGGTTTCTATCCAAGTCTTGGCGGGCTACAATAGGCAGCCAAGAATTCATCAAAAAGCACTTGAGGAACTTGTCCCATCACAACCTTATTCTTGGAAATTTCAATGGCAGCTCTAATCTTGTAGTTGGTGAAGTATATCTTTACTCTGCAGACTATGACTCTTTTCTTGAAACTGACTGCGCCGTTTTCAAAGAACTCAATCTCCCAGTGGAGCCCAGGACTGACCTTGAAACTGATATCCTGGGTTCATGTAATGGACTGCTTTGTGTATTGTCTTTGTGGGATGATCGCCCTATTGTATGGAACCCATCGACCAGAAAGCACCGGATTTTACCGAGTGCCAGAAAAGATGAATTTCACGGTGTTCCCGTCGGTGGTAACTGCTATACCTGTTATGGGTTTGGGTATGATTCAGTGAGCGATGATTATAAGGTGGTTGCTATTCCAGTGCTTTATGGGCGTGATGATCAGGTTTACTCTAAAGTTAAGGTTTATGGTCTGAAAGTAGAATCTTGGAAAAGGGTTCCAGATTTTTCTTACTATTTTCATAAGCATGTCAGTGGCAAGCTTGTAGATAGGGCATTGTATTGGGTTGTAAAAGCTAGTGAATCCAATTCTAACAAACTTATTGCTACCTTCGATCTTGGAACAGAGGAATTCAGGTTACTTCCACAACCTGAGTATTTTGATCGCCATTTTGATATGCGTTTGGGTATTTTGAAAGGATGCCTTTCCTTGATTTGTGAATATTATGAAAGTCATTTTGATATCTGGGTGATGGCAGAGTATGGAGTCCAGAAATCTTGGACAAATTTGGTTTCAATCAAAATATGTGATCTATCTACTAACTGTCGTCTCTCTCCTAGCTGTCCTCAAGCAATGAAGCCAATAGCTTATTCTAAATGCCGTAGACGAGTACTTTTGGGACAGGCTAATTAGCTGCTGCTATGGTATGACATTGAAAGCAAATCTATTTCTTATCCTGTGATGCAAGTTACTGGGGTTGAACAATTCTTTGAATTGGGTATATTTTTACAAAGCCTAGTGAAAGCTTAGCAGTGCTAGTAAGCTGAGAAACACAAAAAGAACAGCTGTACTACAAGAAAAGAGGTAATCGCATAGGCATTCCATTTCCCTTTTTTTTTATTAATAGCTTCATTCCCTTTGCTGTGGATTTAATTGTAAACTTAGGTTTCGTTTAACTCCTAGAGTCTTGAGCTAACTTGCCACTATGGACTGAATAATGAGATATAAGATTTGCAGCCCATTTCTTGCTAATGTGGGCTAATGTATCCTTGCTACACGGTGATGATTGAACCAAATGTGAGATTGTTGCGGTCAGGTTGGACCTTTTGGCTTGATATTTCTTTTGAGGTTGTGGAATGAAATACTCAGGGAAGAGATTCTTGGTAAGGGCAAATGTCCTCTCTTCTCTACCTCTTATATTCATCTCTGCTCATAAGATTCCATTCTTGTATATTTGCTGTTGCTTTCAGACTCAAATTGCATGATCTAACATGGAGTTATAGATATCAGTATATGCGCACAGATAGTTGTTAATCTTAAATTTTGTTGCATTAATTATTAGCTAACTAGTTTTTGTTTAAGATGGTAGGCAGACAAGTTCAGTGATCTCATCCCAATATACTTTTACCAAATCTTTGTAGAAAGCATTACTTCAGCATATAATAGATGATGCCTTGTCAATTTTCCCCCTTTTTCGGAGCTAAGTACAGCAACTTAATTTTGAGTGTCTTGTATGACTCAGGATATCTGCTATGTACTTGTAGAAGCAGTAACTTGTCTACCTCCAGTCATCGAAGGATGCACCAACCGTTGAGAATGAACTTTTGTCATTAAGCACCTCAATTAGTTAAATCACTCTATATGCATGTCACCATTTTTTATAAAGATTTTCAGTTTCAAACTCTACAAAAGTAGTCATTGGCATGTTAGTTCTGTTTTTAAGGTTGTCTTTGCATATGTGTGCATGTTGTTTCTATAAAAAGGTCTTCTGTAATCTGCAGCAATTTCTTTGTTGGTAAGTTGTATGGCTTGGACTGACAATTTGAGTCTAATCTTTGGGGTTACACTTGTCATTTATCTTTAAGCAGTTGATGGAGCTTGCACATATATTATCATGCTAATGGCACAACTTGTCTTGGATTTTTATGAAATTGCCTCTGCTATTGTTGATGGTTAAACTTGTTGCTGGACTTGATATTCTTGATTTGCTGTCCTTTAACTTGTCTTGAATGTTTATGAATTTGCTTATGTTATTCTTGATGGTTTAACTTGTTGGTGGAATTGATTATTCTTGAATTCAGTTGTTTGATTTGCTCCCATCTGTTTATATAGCATTCTTTCCTGAATAGGCACTTAGGTGTTTTCCTTTTTGCTTCTCACTTTTTCATTGGTCCTGTTGAATTCAAAGCCTCAATTGTTGACTTTTCCAAGCCAAAATTGTTGACTTTGAAATCTTTGGCCTAAGTTTCTAAATCTCACATCGGTTAGTTTAACATTTGAGAGGTTGCTTGAGAGCTATAAATAGCTCTCAAACAAACCAATTCAATCACACCAAGCAATAGCATCATAACTTGCTTCCTTCTCTCTCTTTGTAATATTTCTTCTATTGAAATATTAAGTTGTCAGTAGTGTTTGAGGACATAGGCAAATTAGCCGAATCTCGTTAAATTCTGGTGTTTTATTTTATTGTCTATTTAGTAGCTATATTTATAGGTATATTTGTAGTGAGTTATTGTGCAATTAATTGCATATATAGGTGATTTTGTCTAGGCAATTGGTACTTAAGTAGGCCAGTGTGTCTCACCAAATATTTCCTGGGAATTACCATTTTACAATTTTAGGTACAATAATTTACTCATTATACCTTAATTTGGTAAAACTTCCGCAACAATTGATATCAGAGCTCGAGATTTTTTAGTTTGCTCTGTGGTTGCAACATAGTCTGATCTTCCACATCAGAAAAGATTTCTTGGGCTATTGTTACTCTACATTTAGGAGCTACTAAATATAATTTGTAGAGATGGCCGAAAGTAGATCTTCATCTACAATGCAAGCATCAACAAGCTCGTCATCGTCTATTATGGCAAGAAATGCTATGATGAATGCAAAATTAAATGTGGAGACATTTGATGGTACCGGTCATTTCGGTATGTGGCAAAGTAAGATTCTAGACGCGCTCTTTAATCAAGATCTAGACATTGCCATCTAAGAAGAGAAACCAAAAAAGATTGAAGAGAAGGAATGGAGGACGCTAAATCGTTTAGCGTGTTGTACAATTCGATCGTGTCTTTCAAGGGAACAGAAATATGTGTTCTTAAACGAAACCTCTGCAAATAAATTATGAACCGGATTGGAGGAGAAGTTCTTGAAGAAAAATGGTCAAAATAGGCTCAATATAAATAAGCGTTTATTTCACTTCACTTATGTTCCCAGCACAACTCTAAATAATCACATCACTAATTTCAATCAGTTAATCACTAATCTGATGAATTTAGATGTAATATTTGAAGACGAAGATTTGGCTCTCATGTTGTTGGAATCTCTTCCTGAGAAGTTTGAGCATCTTGAAACAACTCTACTCTATGGGAAAGATGAAGTGTCCTTCGGTGAAGTTAGCTCTGCCCTGTACAGCTATGAGCTCAGAAGAAAAGACAAACAAAGTAGCAGAGATGGAGCAGCAGAAGCTCTGGTAACTAGAGGACGCTCACAAAACCAGAGAAAGAGGAGGAGAGGTAGATCCAAGTCAAGAGCCAGACTAAGCAAAGATGAGTGTGCCTTTTGCAGAGAGAAAGGGTACTGGAAGAAGAACTGCCCAAAATTGAAGGGTAGACCTGACAAAGAAAAAGCTGTTGCAGATTCAAATGTAGCTGAGTGCATTGATCAAGATTCAGAACTTTCATTAGCTATCATGCCTACTGGTCATTCTAGTACATGGCTATTGAACTCAGGTTGTAGTCATCATATGACGTCCAATAGGGAATGATTCTTTGATTTCAAGGAAGAAGAAGGTGGAGTCGTCTACACGATAGATGAGGCCATATAGCAACAAATGGGGTTCGTTCAATTCGACTGAGAAATCAGGATGGATCAATTAGGATTCTAACTGATGTCTGATATGTGCCAGAATTGAAAAAGAACCTCATTTCTGTGGGAGTACTAGAATCAATGGGCTATAAGGTGTCGGCATATAATGGAGTGATGAAAATCATTTCAGGTGCATTGGTACTGGTGAAAGGCATTCGAAAAAATAATAACTTGTATTACTATCAAGGTAATGCAGTTGTTGGAGTAGTGGCAATGGCTTTCAGTGATGATTGAGAATTGAAAGTAACCAGATTATGGCATATGCACTTAGGGCATGCCGGAGAAAAATCCTTGAATTTTCTGATGAATCAAGGACTATTGAAAGGAGCCAGTGTTTGCAAGTTAAATTTTTGCGAGCATTGTGTCAAAGGGAAGCAGACAAGGGTAAATTTTGGCACTGTAATTCACGATACTAAGGGTATTTTGGATTATGTGCTCTCTGATGTGTGGGGATCTTCCAAAATAACTTCTCTGGGAGGCAAAAATTATTTTGTTACCTTTGTCGATAACTTCTCTCGAAGAGTATGGGTGTATACTATGAAAGCGAAAAATGAAGTATTGGGAATTTTCATCAAGTGGAAAAAGATGGTGGAAACTCAAACAGAAAGAAAGATCAAACGCCTTCGAACAGACAATGGAGGTGAATACACTAGTGATCCGTTCATGGAGGTCTGTGAAAATGAAGGCATTGTTCGGCACTTCACAGTCAGAAATACACCACAGCAGAATGGGGTGGCAGAGCGTATGAACCGGACATTGGTAGAGAAAGTTCGGTGTATGTTGTCCAATGCTGGGTTGGACAAACAATTTTGGGTTGAGGATTTAGCATATGCAAATCACCTCGTTAATCGCTGACCATCAACTACTATTGGCTGCAAAACGCCATTAGAGAAATGGTCGGAAAAACCTGCTATAGATTATGATTCCTTACATGTGTTTGGTTCTACTGCATATTATCATGTTAAAGAATCAAAGTTGGATCTAAGGGCGAAAAAGGCGCTCTTTATGGGGATTACGACAGGCATTAAATGTTATCGTCTTTGGTGTCTCGAGACAAAGAAGATAGTTTTCAGCAGGGATGTCACCTTTGATGAATCTACCATGTTAACAAAGGTAGATGTACAACAGAATGATGGTACTCCCCAACAGGTGGAGAGCACTCCTAAGCAGGTGGAGTTTGAAAGAAACATTATCAGACCAGCAGTGAATATAGGAGCAGATGAAAGGACTCCTATGGTAGAAGAAGAATCAATTGAAGAAGATGTTCCAGTTGGAAAGTCTTCACAGCAACTTGAATCAATTGCATTGAGTAAGCCAAAGAGGAATATCAAAGTACCTGCTCGGTATGTTAATATGGTGGCTAATGCATCTACAATTGCAATAGATGAAGTTCCTACCACTTATCTTGAAGCTGTCCAAAGTTCAGAGAAGGAAAAATGGAGGACAGCTATAGAAGAAGAAATGTAGTCCCTTTATAAGAATCAGACTTGGCAACTTGGCAACTTGTCAATCTGTCAAAGGGAAAGAAGGCAATTGGGTGCAAGTGGGTATATGCAAAGAATGAAGGATTTCCTGACAAGTCTGGTGTTCTGTACAAAGCAAGATTGGTAGCTAAAGGTTACGCTCAGAAGGAGGAAATTGATTACAACGAAGTGTTTTCTCCAGTCGTGAAACATTCCTCCATTAGAATTTTATTGACTTTGGTAGCACAATTGGATCTGAAATTTGTCCAATTAGATGTAAAAATTGCGTTTTTATATAGTGACTTGGAAGAGAAAATCTGCATGACTCAACCAAAAGGATTCAAAGTTGCTGGTAAAGAAAAGATG